ACACGAAAACACTCAGCTCAAATTACTGACAAACTACTGCTAAGGGTCTCCAAAAGCCGCACTTCCTTCACAGTCTTGAGAAATTCTTTATACAATAATCGTCTTCTTCAAGCAAAAGAGCAGCGGCGCTGGCCACTGCTCGCGCTTCCTTCGAATATGTCGCACCTGCGACGTCATTTTGACGTCATCAACACGCAAACGCGTCCGCGCCGCCGGTAACCTTTTCTCCCCCTCCCCGCGAGGGGGTGCTCAATGGGGCCAGTGGTGAAAAAGAGCAGGGAAGACGTCGATAAAACGCGAAAAGGGGACCCACTCCTTCGGGCGTTGGTTTTACCCACGGACGGGCTGCGGCTGAGCGACGGAGGTATGAACGAGTTCACCGTAACGCGTGTGGTGGCCATATGCCAATCCATGCTTCAGTCAAGTTGGTCCAGCTTTGCTGCTGCTGAAAACGCAGCTTGTCCGAATCATCAACCAAACTGATGGGCGGATCGCTTTTTAATTCCTGTTCAGAACCGCGCACAATTAGCTTCCTGGCTTTCCATTAGCGCACTGCTTCAGCATTGCTGCAGCCACTGTTTCGTGTGGCGCATATACACTGCGACACATAATCCTAGTTCCACCTACAAATTTCCCAAAAACTAGAATTTGGAGATATTCGTCATCCGACTGAGATGAGCGCCGTATCGTGACGGGAAAATAATTCGACTTTATACAGACGGGTACGTAAATCAAAGTTAGTGTTTCAATGGGAGCAGTTTCACGTGTTTTACAACACGCTCGTGACAGTCCATGTCTGGAGGATGAGAAATATGCTTTCAGTGAGAAGAAATCATAGAGAAAAACGAGCCATTTTTCTTTAAAAGCTCAGCCAGTTTTGTGAAGCGGTGGCATTCTTTCATTTGCGACTTTTGATTTGCGTCTTTCTTTCTCTTAACGTTCTTCTTTCTCAGATCGGTTTCCTACTTCGTAGCATACATGAATGGAGAAGAAAATGATCAGGAAGATGGTCAGAGGTTCCAAAATATCACAGATAAAAAAGTGTCCTCACTTCGCTCTACTTAGCAAAACGTTTTGAAAATGGCCCGTTTTTTTTCTCTAATTTCTTTTCACTGTAGGCTTATTTTTTTCTCCTCCAGCATATACCGTCACGAGCGTGTTGTAAAACACGTGAAACTGCTTCCATTGAGGCGTTTTGGAGCAGTTTTGATTTCCGTACCCGACTGGATAAAGTCGAATTATTTTCTCACGATACGGCGCTCATCTCGGTCGGATAATAATCAGGGTTCTCCCCAGAATCATATCCTGTAGCATCCTTGAGAAACTTGTTCGTTAAGAAGCCACCCCGGCAAATTCTAGCGTGAGCTGACACTTCAGCAACTGCTGCGTATCTTTTGCTAGGGTTTTCCTTTTACGGGAGTTCGACAGCGGTTATTCCTTTGCTATAAGCTTAGGGAATTGAGTGGGTAATAATTTCAAAATTTGATTGGGTAAGTGCAAAATGCAGCAGAGAAACGTGTGGTGGAACTATGATTTTGCGTCATAGACAAGTCGGATATTTTCGAAAAAATGAGGATAAAAATTTTTGCTTTCTCAAACTGGGTTTCCGTGATAATATTCAGATTCGCATTTGCATGTGTCACAATTTGTCTGTAGAGCCCTTTTCAAAAACACCTCCAAATTCTAGTTTTTGGGAAATTTGTAGGTGGAACTAACAATAAGATTCTGCGTCGCAGTGTATTTCTCCGAAGCGCCCTTTCTCTTAATCGCTTTCTTCAAGGAATGATCCTGGATTTTCTAAAAATATGTAAGCAGTCGATTTGATGGAGCCGTATATTTATTTTAGTATGCAATGTTTATCTCGGAATCGGTTTCAAAGGGTTCAGAGCTATTTTTAGTGACACATCCGGTAGCAGGGTCAACCCTACTGTTAAGACCTTTCGAAAATTTTTTTACGACAACTTTTTCACGGCGTCTTTTTCTCTCAGAAAACATCGTCGAGCGGGTGTATAACTACCACGAAACCGCAAAAATTACCTCTATTACGCATGCTGAAACACCATTTTTTCTTCCGCGCGCACCCTCACCTCATTACGTGTAATTTCGTGCTACCGAAACAAGTACAAGCCCCCACCACTAACTCAACAAACTACGACCCCCCCGTTGATACTTGTCCCAACGTAGGGCTAAGTCCTGTCCCGTTCTGGACCGAGACGAGGACCGCCGTAAATTTCGCGCAATTTAACTAAATGATAATTATTCTTAGTCCCTTGTGGAAGGTTCCCTCTCCAAGTCTGACAGTGGTCCACCATATTATTGCACTTGGCAAAGATGAGAAAATGGAGCAGCTTCAGCAAGCAAAATTGAAATGCAACTGAGACATGTGTGATGGAAGCTTAATTTCAAGGAGAAAGCAAAGAGCATGCTTTTTAAAAAATTGGGCGAAGTTCGCATTTCTTTAAACCTAACATTTTTTTGAAAGTTCTTCTTGGAAAAGAAAAAACAAGACACCAAATTATCCGGAATTTCAATACAATTCTTGGTGAATATTTTAGGTAGGTATTTTCACTCTTAGTAACGAACACCAAAATTTTTTTAGGACAGATTGCATTCTTGCGAACTTCAAGAGATCTGACCACTCCTCAAGCAGACGGGAACAACGACAAAGCCCTCCAAGTACATTCTGAGATGCAAGATGAACATGGGGCCGAGGCTCGGACTGAACAAAGCAAACATCATGACTCTGAACAAGGAGTATCCAAATTACCACATATTTGAGAGGAGTGAGCCATGGTTCTCGAAGAAACGAGGAGAATGGGCCAACGTGTGGCACCTGTCCTTGTTATACGTTTTACGGGAAGAATGGAAAACCCAGAGCCAAATGATGCCCATTATGTATTGTCGCTATAGGTGTGATGAGTACTGTGTAACCGTCCAACACAACTCGAACACACAACCGAATTGCCGTTACACTGAATCAGCAATCACAGAACACGAAGTTCACTAGAGGAAACCACAAGTACTCTTCCGGGCATAAGGTATAAAGCGAAGAGATATCGAAAAACTGCTCAAAGAACGTTCTAATGCAAGCAATGTCTGCGCACCATGCAGCTGCCAAAAATGTTGCTGTTCTCTCTTCTTCTGCTTCTTCTTCTTCTCCCTTAGCCGTTGCCCGCGCGGCGCAGGCTGTCCGCTGTTTTGTCATCGCCGCCACTTTAGTCTAGTCCAGGTTGCGCTCCTACGGCTGTGGCCTGAATTCACTTAGATCTTCTTGATCAACACTCTACTCACCTCTTTCTATTGGTGGCCATCCTTTCGCGGTCGCTTGCACTTAGCAACTTCGGAAGCCATCGCCGTTTATCGGATGATCTGTGGCCTCTTTAGACATGCCTCAACGTAGACGCTGTTCCCGTACCTCAGCTGGACAGGGGCCGTCTGCATGACCGCTCTCACCATCGTGTTCCTGCCCTGCCAGTTTCGCGCCAGCCGCAGGCCCACCTCAGACATCCGCATCTGCAGTCGGAGTGAAGCTGCCTTTCGCATGATTCTTGTTCAGGGGCCAGCACTCGCTCGGATAGGAGATCGCAGGGCCTTACACTGTTCGGTACACGCTTCCTTTGAGCGCTATGGCAGCCCTTCGGTCGCAGGCAGGATCCAGTAGATTCCCTCCATTTCATCCATTGCTGCGGTTTGATGCCTCCTTTACTGCCCTGGTCCACACTGCCGTCGGCCGCCAGATCACTCCCAAGTATCGGAACGTCTCCACTCTTTCGATAGTCTCACCATGGCCGTCTACGATCGGCTCTTGCACCTTTCGGAGCTCAGAGTACTTGCGTCTTCCTTGAACATTCAGCCTTTAGCCCGCCTTCTGCCAGGAGCTATCGTAGCCATTGCTGCACCTTGGATTGTAGTCCCCCTACTATCCGCGTATCAGGGCGGATGAATCGGCAGCGTAGAGGATGGTCTTCAGTTGGGGTCCTTCATAGGCCTTCACCATGGGAGTCGAGCGTTAAGAGGAACAGGAAGGGGTCACAGCTGACCCTGAGCACCCCACCGCTGATATTTAAACTCTTCGTTAGGCCCGTGAGGGTGGCGTGATGGCGCTTGGCTCCTTAGGTAATGTCCTTCACCAGAGAGATGGCAGTTCAGAATATTTTACAAAGAAACTGTTGTCCTGTAAGGTAACTACGTTAGACGAAAAGAAAGAATGGTGTGATAGAACAAAACGAAACCGTTCCACAAATATGTGGGTCGCAGAGAGTTTTAGGAGAGCTGTCACAACGCACTCCACGTGTAGCGCGGGAAGACAGCACACCCCATTTGTCATATCGATGAGCTCAGCGCTGCCGGATATAGCACTCGCCCCTAGTACAGAACCAGATTCTAGGCCAACGACTGTGTCACAACGAGGGGCCAGATACCCAATCTAAAGCGCTAACCCTATAAACCGAAGTGTCATATTGGGGAGCATGGGCCAAAAATGTTAGCTACGTTGTCAAAAAACACCTGCTGTGGAAGCGCCGTGCGTTGAAACTACAATGGAATAAGTCGAACACCGAAATGCAATGCCATTACCAACGAATGTCCTTCCCAAAACTCCTGTAAGGCACTTGCTGAATCGCAGTAACTGCACGGATGAAAGCCTCAACTTTCTGGTGGTCTTCCTTCTTCCCCTTCTGTTCAAGGAATTGAGTTGCATAGCGTGCAGGCAGTAGTTGTCAATTGAAAACCTTTGTAGTAATGTAGCCAATTGCAGATAAGTCAAGACCTGGGGCTGGACAAAGTGAGTTACAAGTACAGTACAAACCAAGCTGATACGGCAGAATGAACAATTAAGCAAAGATTCAACATGCTTAGCGGGTGAGAACGTTGTGCCACGGGATTTAAAATGTATGTGTTTCAAATATAACTTTGCTTTGTTTTACATCTCCTAATTTCATGAACACCAATCTCAATTCATAGCCGTTTGAATACATATGAAAAAGGTAAGATTTTCAGGAAGTTCAGGTGGAAATATCATATGCGAAGAACAGTGTATTACTAATGCGCTTCTAGTCGAATTGTCGTTAGCGTTCGAGTCTCGAGGCCAAGAAAGCGAAACGGTCATTCATTCATCACTTAATACTCTAATAGTGTGAAGAAAGTTACCGTTGCAACAGCAAGTCGAAGCGCCTGGCTGGATTAGTCAGTGCTTCAAAATGCACAGATCGCCTCGCTTCAGAGTGCTAAATGTGATTTATCTCTTACAAGAAAAATGTCGAAGGACGAAATAAGTTGTTCGATACACTCTATTATGAGCGACAAGTGACACATAGAACATTTTGAAATAGCGAAGGAGCTGGTTTTGAGGATGTGTGTTTCAAAGGCCTGCAAGGAAGTGTGATACATTGTTGGCTAACAATCCGAGACTACGACTTGTATATTCCGCGACAATTGAAGGAGAGACCGATGCGTAAAAACTGCTGAACCTTCCAGCATTATGCTAGCAAATCAGATTACGTTCATTCATTATGCATGCAAATTGACAGTTTTGAGCGTCCATCTTTTGTTGATAGCGGTTTCTTGCCGAATCTTTATAACAAAAACAAAACTTCATCAAAAGACAACATGTGGTGAACAAGAACCATTCAAGTTATAAGCAACACAGGGTTTCACTGTCGATGAGAGCGGCGTAAATGCAGGCAGCGACCTGAACGCATTGAAAGCTACGCTGATGGCACGCAAGTACTGGTCGAGACTTGTTTCAACCGTTCTGCGGAATTTCTTCGATGAATCCACAGAACGGTGAGGTGATAGCAAGACTTTGCTTTTGAACGTCACCCCAACCGACTGAAATATGACTAAGCGAAGTCGGACTTAGATCTGTTCAGCATCGTCTGGATTTTTGGAAGTAATGAGAGCTTCTGGTTGAGTGACTCACACGGTACTTTGAGCTGCTTTTGAAGAAATAGTAGTAAGCATAGAATCGACTCCGTCGCTCAGAGGCAGATAAGAATGCCCTACAAGTTTTCATGCCTGTCACTGTAATCTTACAGTGCGGTGCTATTATAACAGGTCACCAGCCTTCTGCAGTTCCCGCGAAAAGCCAGCATGACGGGTAATTTTTTCTGCTATTACCAGTGATTCCGCGCGATGTTGAAAAACCCCTGAATCGCAGTTTTAGCTTTTCTTTTACTTGTTTTACAATTATTTTTCGGTGTGCACCGTGTCGATGAATATAAGGTCACCCTGCTAAAAAATGAAATATTGAACGATGTTATCGAACAAAAAAATATACTTGATGGACTTAATACAGCTGCGTACCAAAAGTGTGTGCCGACACCTAGATCGATCTACAGAAGGCGTAGTCAGCCTAAAAGGCTTCTGGTGTGTATGAAAACTATCACCAGTCAACTGCTAGTGGTCGCATAACCTACAATGACTTCTGGCAAAAGGTTTCGTTATAATCTACGCGAACACTTTTCATGGAATGTTTTTCTTTGCTATCAAAATCTATCGGGACACCCTGAGGCCGATGAGTTTTTGCGATCAATTTCCTATAGCCTATTTTTATATACACCTTTCGTTACTTATTCTGGCATCATCGCTTCACGGCAAGCAATTTTCGTGAAGAAGACCGCAGCAAAATGGAGATCCTATGCTTCTGAACCTTCCTAACTGCGAAATAGCACCACGTAACCAGTCACTGCGCGTCCTCGTAGGTTTCTGGAGAAAAATATCCGAATCCTGACGATAAGTCTCGACCTTAGACTGAGCGGTTGTATCTCAATCGCTACTTGTTCAAAACAACAGAAGAATGGCCTTAACTTCTAAAATGAGATTCTTTTCGCTACTCACTCAAACTTTTACGCAATAAATGATCTTCCGAGCTTGAAAAAGACCAATCGGTGTCGTCAATCAATCAATTGACCCAAACGACACGAAAGAAAATGCAGGAAGCTTTGGTATTAGGAATGTGGTTCAAGTTGGGCAGGTGGATTTCGCCACTCAAAAAAGGTCACAACAGAATACTTTGACCCACACAGACAGTGCATCGTGGAAAATGGTAAAATTAGTATAAAGACTTTCTCGCGGAAATTTCTTCTCATAGACCACTCGACTGCCAGAAAGAGCTTATTTCCTTACTAGACGCGTGTGGAGTCTTGAGGTTTTTGGCAGAACGGATTGGTCGGACCCGCAGATGTACTGCGAAGAGACAGTTCGAGAAGCTGTTCATCAAAAGGTTGTTTTATTGGATGGCTGTTCCAAAGAAGGCGGCGTGGCATTGAGTTGGGTTGCCAACAGTCAGGTAGACGGCTAGGTTATGATGAGGTTCTTGAGTCAGGCTACAAATTTTTTTCCGAAAAGTCATGTTGCAAATCACTGGTTTGATGCAGGGAGGTCCCTGAACCAGGTTTCCATTTGGCGAAAATGCGAACGCAACTCGCTTTGATTGGCAAGTCGGCGGAGCGTATTCCTCAACTTCATTACATATGAAAACGTAGAGGCATCATGGTTCGCGGCCTCCACATCATTGAACAAAAGAGTAATATCACAAGTGACCTAACACGTCGGTGAATTTGTTAGTTGGGAACAGATCTGCAAGACATTTATCCAGACACCATTCATAGCATGCCAAACAGAATGGCTCAACTTACTAGAAACTTTGGTAGGCCTAACGATTCCAGATTTTGAAGATATTGCCGTTCTTCAAAAAGTGCCCACATAATTTTGATACAAAGAAAAAACTTTCCATAAAAAATAGTTCGCGAAGTCAGAACGAAATCTTTTGCCGAAAATATCATTGTAGGTTATCGACCACTGGGAGTTGAATGGTGGAGGTTTCATGACATAAAAGCCTTTAGCTGACCCCTGAGAATCGATACCAGGATGTCCACATACTTTTGGTACGCACTGTATTTGCTACAAACACACCCATTAATGGAATGTTTCGTATTCGTCTTTCGAAGAAAGATAAAGATTATGCATTTAATGGTACTCGGCACGGTGTGGGAGTCTTTCCAAAGCATTTCGGACATTCCTTAGCTCTTCTCATGCATAATTGAAAAGTTTCTACGATTCCAGATAGTCTACAAATTTCGAGCATCCACAAAAAGTTTCTATAAATGATAAGAGTTGTGAGGGCTGTCCCAAACAGTATTTCCTCTTGAAAGCAGAGTCGCGCGTAATTTAATATTTTCAACTCAAAAAATATGTATTGAAGAGCAGTAAGAGCAGTAAAAGATGCAGCAACATTGTCGAGAAGCGGCAAAGATGGCCCGAATTCTCACTGGCCTTTACGAGGAAGCACAACTTCAACCCGTAAAGTTGAGCTTAGAGAAAGATTGAACAAAGTTGAGCCTGCGCCACAATCTCACCATACAGCAATATAATTTCTGGTTGGAAACTTTCCGATAAGACGGGTTCACACAAACAGTTGCTGCAGATATAAACACTTTTGCAGTGGCTTGCGAAGGTGGCCGATCCACTTCAGCGCTTGCAATTTTAGTTAAGGAGATGTTAAAGGTGTGGGTGCATTTATAATTGTTGTGTCAAATTTTCGTTTCCATGAACTGCATAATGGACTCCAAAGATTAGAATAGAGCTACGCAAGGACATGTGAACTCTTCCTTGAGCTGATGAAGTCGGCTAGCCTGCGTAGTCATACAGAACAGCACAGGTACCCCTAAAGGTCACTCAACCAGAAGCAGCATTTCTCTCGAAATTCAGATTAACTGAACAGATTATTCTTAAGTTCTAGTCATATTTTAGCAGAATATCTAGGGAGCGTCTTCGTCATGAAGAATCGTGCGGATAAACGCCAGCAAAAAACTACACAAGAGCATATGCAACAACCCTTGCACACGGAAGTGAAGCGAAAGTCATCTGCCTTGGACTTCAAATGCCCTTGGTAAAGAAGTAACCATGGATTCTTATGTCGATTTTATCCGTCGTTAATCTTAAGCAATTGTTCTTTTTCTCAGGGTGACCTTATATTATGAAACGGTGCAAAAACCAAAAAATAATTGTAAAAAAAGTTCGAAGAAAAGCTGCTCTCGCCAAAATTGCAATACAGGAATTATTCGCAGTGGGGAATCATTTGGTTATAGATAGTAAAAAGTTACCGATTGGGTTTCGGAAATGTAAAATATTATGGTGACTCTATAATTATGAAGCGCACTGTTTTATGCAGGTCATGGAAGCGAAGTTTCGGCACAAAACCACAGCAAGAAGCGTTTCCAGCGAATGCAAAGTTTTAGGGTGGCCTTATGGTTATGAAACGCACTGTAGTAGCAGTCGAAATGCCGACATAAGTCGTGTGGATGTTCCAACTTCGGAGTAACATATCTGTGTGCAACTACATTTTCAGGAAAACGACAAATACGGTTTTGTAGGGCAGAAAAAGCGCTTGCAAATGGTGCACGATTTTCCAGGTAATGATATACCTTGTACTGATTCAATCTACACGCTCGAGAAAACCGCTACAATATTATGTTCTAACCCGATACATATTAGGTTGAGGAAAAAGACTTAATCGAGAACTTCACTCTTTCCCAGGTAGACCAGTAGGAAGCTTTCAAAGTATTGCAATGCGGGCAGCTTCCAACATCGTTTCTGCGGTTACACAAACTCGCACCTATTTCTGTGAAGCAAGTGACTATAGTTGACGTACATATTCTCGTCGTTGCACCGCTGATTATTCGACAGTAGTTCAGGTTCCTGTCCAAATACTGAACGAGTCTTACCTGCGGATTTATTACGCCACCGATTCGAACTCCCGATCAGACTCCAACAAGTGATGATACACATATGGATGTCATATTAGGATGACTTGATCTCTGGTGAACTAGCAGCTCCCGTTGGACACTTATTAGCTTTTTTATTCTTCAACACCTCTCTAGGTATCCCTTCCCTCCTCGAATTACCCCCAAAGCTGCTGTTCGTGAAAATAGAGCCGTTCCAGCCAGATAGGTCTGAGATGGTACCCGAGGGGCATTGATGCACATATTATTCTTTCTTCACAGCACCCCGAGGATTCTCGTAGACGATGGCGCGATGTTTTCATCTAATGGCTGCTTGCGAAGGGCAATTATTCTGTTGCAGCTTTAGCCTTACTATCATG